TTACTGTGAACCAATGCGCGCAGAGGCTTGATGTACAGCTGGACCGCGAAGGGGGCGTGCCGCTGCAAACGACTGTTCGTCAGTGGGTTTTTAGTTATCGTGGTCGACACGTTGTTAAGTGAAGTTTAAAAGCAATCAGGAAAAAACTGTACTTGTTCAAACTATAATAGAGCAAACTGTGTCTGCCGTTTTGGTAACAAACCACGGGTTTCAATGAATTGCACCAGGTAAGAATACAGAGTGCGTCACAGTGCATCGAGTGGGTTTGTCACTGCGTGCTGGAAAAGTGTAAAGATGACTTTTGAATATGACTAATGATTTAGATTCAATTTAAAACTATACTGGCTTATTTAAAGTATTATTTGAACATTGGGAATGTCAAGCTGTTTAAATTTCTATTAGCGTATCTGTTTATGTTACTAGTACTGAATTTTTAATAGCTGGTAATTAGTCCAACTGCGACAATTGGTTGACATTTAGTTGCATTGTTTTTTCCATTCATTTTTGCCAATGAATTCTATAGGGATCTGTGGTTTAGATTTAGCTGTAGTACATATTCCAGTTTTACTGGTACTATTCATTGAAGTACTGGTATTCTCTAGTAACTAGTCTCTGTGCTAGCTTTACTATTATTTTTGTATTAAATAATAGTTTCTATTTTTGAGACACTGCTATGCTGTTATTAGTAGTAACATTGCTTATCTCACTAGTTGCAATAAAATTTTTACTTGTCATGCTGTAACTAGCCAGTCATTACATATATACAGACTGCCTACTTTATAGGTAAATTCTTAAGTAGTACTACAAAAAATTACTAGTAAGAACTGAAATGCACAGTAGTGTCTACTGTCTAATGACTTTTAGTGCTAAAAAGACTGGATATACATTTTATAAATGTATATTTTATAATGTGTTGCTTTTGGATTTATCCCAGTCCTTAATTTAGTCATGTATTAAAGTATGATATAAATATTATATGTAATAATAAATATAATATGGAAGTATGAATATTCCTTATAAAAACTGATAATTATTCTAATTTGAAAAGCTTAAACCACCAGCTATTGCACTATAATTGAATTGTAAAATAGCTAAAACTAGCTGCAGATATAGTTTTGTTAACCACTTTAATCTCTAAATTCTGAGGAAAGTATTTAATGTCTCCTGCTTAATTGGTCACTGTAGTGTTCTTCATTATTGTCTTCATGACAGGGTTCTGCAGATACTCAACCCCAGGCCAATGCCAAGTCCAATTATGCCTGTGGATGTGGCAATGAGAATTTGTCTGGCACATTCGCCGCCTCTTCGCAGTTTCCTCAGTTCATATGAGGTCTGCAAGTCCAGGAGCCTAGTCAACCAGTACAAACCTCTGAGATCCTGCATCAGCACCAAGACAGATGTGGACACTGATAACATAGGATGGAAGAGTCCCGAGACCAAAAACAAAAAGAAAGTGGTTTTTGCTGACTCCAAAGGCATGTCTCTGACAGCAGTCTATGTATTCAAGGAATTCGAGGAAGACCCCATGTTAGACCTGCCGTTCGAATTATCAGACTTGGAGGACGCCATTGTGGGCCTGAAAGCGGAGGAGGAGAAGAATTTGATTTTGGATTTCCCTCAGCCTGCTGCAGACT